GTTTCTTGTTGAAGAGTCCCCTTTCTCCAGGTCTTGAGCTGCTCCAAGCCTTGAGCTGCTCCAAGCCTTACCTCCGAGGAGAGGGCTGCTGTCGAGCAGCTCCGAGGAGGCTCATCGCTAGGAAAGGAGACACAGAGTCTTGACCGTGTCACTTCTTATCCCCCAGGGAGGCGGCTGTGCTCTGATGACTCGATCCAATGAGTTTGAACAGATCGGCCGCGGGATGAATTCGGTGAGTGAGGACACCTGCCGGCAGTGGGAGCAGAGCCGATGGAGCCGACTCCCGCCCCAGCCCGGCCTCACTCTCCCCTTTCTGCCGGGCCTGGATGTGATTCGGACGGGGGTGCAAGAAAAGATTAACATAGCTCATAAATGAATCCCCAAGATCCAGGCCTGGGGAGCAGCCATGGTCACGGTATGGGGATACTTGCTGTGGCGTGAGGGTGTTGGCTGGTGTCTGGGGAACTCTGTTTGCATGATGTGGGGGTGACCTTACCCTTCCCAATGCTGAGGAGCTTTTTCAAACACTTTTAACCAGCTGAGTACTACCTTTTAGTATTTTCTGCTAATAACAGAGAAAAATTCAGATGCAGAGAGCATTTTCCTAGGTGCTCCTGAGCCTTGTATCCATTCTAAAGAGAGATGGTTCCCACAGCACTCTGGAACAGAGGTTTCAGCCAAATAATCCTCGTTGTAGCAGGGCTGGGGAAGCGACGGGACCGTCTCATTTGCGTGGGGAAGAGCACTCCCATTCTGCCCTGCCTCCTCCGGGGCATTTGCCAAGATTTCACCGCGACTTTCTTCCCCAGCTTCACGGCCGATCCAGGGAGCAGCGGTACACAAGGAGTGCTGACTGGGACTACATCGCGGGGTGTGCTAAAATAGCGAGCCCCATGCCTCTTTTTGGTAGGTGTTTCTGTTGTTTTGTCGTGTGGATTGAAAGTGCTGCATGTTTGCTTGGAAATATCCTTAAGAAAGAAGGATATCCTTAAAAAAGAAAAAAAACCCCCAAACTCCCACAGCCATTCACCTTGGGAGAAAGGTTGGAGTATCCCTACTGCTGCTGGTGACTCGACGGAGTGAGACAACACGCGATTTTTAGGAGGTCCTTTCTCCCTTGGGCACCGCGGCATGGACAGTCCCGGCTAAAGCAGGAGGGGAGGAGAAGAGAGGAGAACGCTCCTTGTCCTTGTAAGGGGAACACGAATCAGAAACATCCCTGGGAGTCTCTAAACAGGAGCCCCAGAGCCTCCTCAGACAATCTGGCTCTTGGCGCCCGTGTCCATTTGGAATTTTATCCCATGCCTGGATTAACTCACTTTGACTCACCCGCGTGTATCACTTTGACCTCTGTCTTCTCCCTTCTGCACAGGCAACGGTGATATTTTGTCTTACGAAGATGCTAATCGAGCCATGCAGATGGGCGTTTTGGGAATTATGATTGCAAGGCAAGTGCCTGTGTTTCCCCTTTGCTATTGGTGCAAGAGCAAAAAAAAAAACAAAAAGGAATTTAAAAAAAACCCCTAAACAAACCCAAACCACGAGAAGTTTCCTCTTGGTGAAACTACTCTTTGAAAATTGGTAAAATCAGTTTGCGTCTGTGGGAACTGAACAGCAGCTTCCTGTCGAAATTGAAAAAAAAAAATAAAGCGGCATTGGCTGGGAGATCAGCGCTGGAAAGTCTCTTGAATTGGTTGGCATCTTCGAAGCATCAGTCGTGGGAATAACCATGCACTTTTTTTTGGCTGCAGAGGGGCACTCATCAAACCGTGGCTTTTCACTGAAATTAAGGAGCAGAGGCACTGGGATATCTGCTCCAGTGAGAGGTTTGATATCCACAAAGACTTCACCAACTACGGCCTCGAGCACTGGGGGTCCGATACCCAGGGGGTGGAGAAGACGAGGAAGTTCCTGCTGGAATGGCTCTCGTTCCTCTGCAGGTAATTCTCCCCGGCCGAGAGGATCGTTAACACACCCAGCCTGTATCGCACACCGTGCCCTTACGTTTCACCGCAGGTATATTCCAGTTGGCTTATTAGAACACCTCCCTCAGAAAATTAACGAGCGGCCACCTTACTACGTGGGGAGAGACTATCTGGAGACGCTGATGGCCAGCCAAAACGTGGAGGATTGGATTAAAATAAGGTAATAAAGCACTGAATGCCATTTAAATTGCTACAAAGGGATATGGCAGAGCCTCCCAAAGCCGCTGTGCCTGGGCGCATCCTCCAGAGAGGGGGGATGAGCTCTCCCATGGGTTTAAGAGGCTGTAAGCAAGCAGCAAGGGTTAACCGGTGCTTTGCTTCGAGGTTTGAACTGAGCTTGGAGTTAAAGATCTCTCTCAATCCCTGCGTCTGCTTCAGCAGGTCACCCAGGACCCGCTGCAGATCTAGAGTAGCTGACCTCTCTCATGACACGCTGTTCATCCCAGGACAGGCACAGGAACCAGCAGAGGAGATGATGGGATGTCTCAGCGCAACGATGGGTTATCTCAGGCTCTCAGCGTCGGATCCCTCCCTGCTCTGCCCGGACGGTCCCACGCTGCCAGACAGATGCCGGGCAGGAGGACAGTC